AATAAATAACTTTGTTTATTAATTTATTTAAACAATAAATAAATAAATACAAATATAAAATTTGATTATTTTTTTTTTTTACAAATACAAAAAAAAATAATAAAAATAGTTCTGATTTTGGGCTGAAATCTCACACACATTCAACGTGTTAAAGATGAAACATTTGCATCTGTTCATCATTTACACTAATTTACACTGATTGTGTAAGTCATGCTATAATAGGTGGTTAACAGGGTGTTGCTAGGGCACTGCATCCTGGTTGCTAGGGTGTTCTAGGTGCTTTCTTCCTGTCTGGCATGAAAAGAGTGATTTTCTGGTCTGTAGATATTCCTATATTGTATTTTTTTTTAAACTTGTTTTATGGTTCAGCGGGTGAAAATCTCAAATCACCAACTACGAGCACTAGTGAGCAATAGTGATGTCTCATCAAACACCACTAAAAACTACAGTAACTATGGTATTTTTTGGCCTTCAGCAAAATAAAGAAATGACTGTAAAAAAGTGAAGCAGTGCAGTACTTTTTGGTGTGCAGCTGAATGCGAGTCCAGTACAGCGGTTTCATGGGTCTCGGCGGCTCCACCAGGCTTTTGCGAGGAGGTTTCTCCTGCGCCGCTCCTAATGCGTACAGACCCAGCGGGAGCGGAGGAGGCAGAGAACCCAAACCGAAAGCCAGGGGAGGACCAGGAGCCAACGGCGGAGGACCTGGAGGAGGAGGTGGTGCTGATCCTGGTAGAGGAGGAGGTGCAGATACACCTGGTAGAGGAGGTGGAGGAGGAGGTGCACCCATTCCCGGGAGAGGAGGTGGAGGTGGAGGAGGAGGTGCACCCATTCCCGGGAGAGGAGGCGGAGGAGGAGGAGGAGGTGCACCCATTCCCGGGAGAGGAGGCGGAGGAGGAGGTGCACCCATTTCCGGGAGAGGAGGCGGAGGAGGAGGTGCACCCATTTCCGGGAGAGGAGGTGGCGGAGGAAGAAGTGAACTGCCTGGGAGAGGAGGTGGTGCAGAAAGAGCGCTCATTCCTGGAAGTGGAGGTGGAGGAGGAGGTGCACACATCCCGGATGGAGGAGGAGGCGGTGGTGGTGGTGGAGGAGGCACCGAAGCACCCGGCAGCTGCTGGCATATGCACACAAACGCTTGAGAAGCATTCTCAGTTTCTGATGGCAGCGAGGAGTCACTCCTCCCCGGTGCCTGCACCTCCACAGGAGGCACTTTAAACCTAAAGCTCTCCTCCATGGGAGACGTCTGCACCGATTTGGCCTCCAGCGGCAACAGCAAAGTGTTTTCTGTCTGCAAGTCCACATGGCAGACGTCCGGGAGGAGGCGCTCCTCTCCTCCGCACTCCTGGTCCTGCGTCAGCAGCACCTCCCGCTCCAGCAGGGGCTGCTGTTTCTCCAGCTCGGCGATCTTACTGCGCAGGTCTTCGATGGTCTGCTCCAGCTGCTCGATCACACAGACGTGCTCCTGCTTCAGACGTACCGTCTTTATCACAGACTCCTCCTGCGGAGACAGAGACAGGCGTGATGAAAAGCAGACGAACGCCACAGACAGAAACAGACATAAATCTGAGTTTCTCGTGCACTGGATTCCGCGAAGTCACTCGCGTTCGTGTCACGCGGTTAAACGTGTTTCCTGTGGGAAGAAACAATGCTGAAGTGTCGACAGAACTGATGAGGAGCAGCTGCTTTCAGACTCAAAACACAACAATAGATGCCCACAGTCCTCTGAATTCAACAGACCCCGGGGGAGACACCCCACAGGACCTAATAGAGAGCAGCACACACGAATGTTTAATGAGAAACACTGTGAGAGAACGAACAGAGAGAGAGCAACGCCCTGCTCGTCTCTTAGTGGCTCTGACAGAAGTTTTCAATCAGTATTGCCAGGCTAATATTTAGCAGGAATGCTTATACAAATATATTTATGCATTTTTCATAAATATAAAATACTTGATTTTATTCAAATAAAAGTAAAACATTTACATAATTATATAAAATTAATAGTTATTAATAAGCATTAAAGACTAAGGTATTAATTTATATAAACAATTATTAATTAATTGTGTATACTCAATTGCTAATTGTGTATAAAATTCTTAATATATTATAGTAATAATTCGAAATATTTAAATATCAATTATTTATATAAACCTATTAAGGCAATTATTAATCATTAATTGTGTGCATACAATTATTATTAATAATTTTATAATAATTGCTTATTTAAATTTTATTTAATAACAGTTTATTTAAAGTTTATTTAAACAAAAACCAAGCATTTACATAATCATATAATATTAGGTAATTACATTTCATATTATATATAATGTAAACAAATGCATATAATTATTCATAGTAATATATTTAATATTGTATAATGTAAATGTAAATTAACTAATAATTAATATTTAATAATTGTTAATTGTATATAGTTATTTTGTGTGTATACATAATGTATTTTTGAAAAAATGAATACATTTTAAAATTATTTATATTAATAAAATTATTGAATTAAATTATATTTTATAGAATTTTATTTAAACTATTTACACACACATATACATACACGCATATATATATATATATATACACATATATTAATATATACATATATATACATATACACACGCATAAACATACACATACATATGCAGGTGCATCTCAAAAAATTAGAATATCATTAAAAAAAATGTACATTTCAAAAAGTGAAACTTTCATATATTCTAGATTCATTACATGCAAAACATTTCAAAAGTTTTTTTTGTTTTATTTTTGATGATTAGAGCTTACAGCTCATGAAAGTCAAAAATCCAGTATCTCAAAATATTACAATATTTCCTAAGATCACTCCAAAAAAAATAAATGATTTGCAAAACAGAAAAGCTCAAGTTCTTTAAAGTATGTTAATTTATGCACTCAATACTTGGTTGGGGCTCGGTGAGCACAAACTCCAGCATCAGTGAGGTGTGAATGGAAGCGATCCGCCTGTGGCTCTGCCGAGACATTATTGAGCTTCAGCTCGGATCCACTGTTTCTCATCTTTCTCTTGAAAACATCCCATATATTCCACATGGGCTTCAGGTCAGGCATGTTGGCTGGCCAATCAAGCACAGTCATATCATTGGAAGTGGTTTTGGCACTGTGGGTAGGTGCTAAAGTTCTGCTGGAAAAGGAAATCAGCATCTCCATAAAGCTTGTCAGCAGATGGAAGCATAAAGTGCTCCAAAATGTCCTGGTAGACGGCTGCACTGACTTGATAAAACACAGTGGAGCAACACCAGCAGACACAGCTCCACAAATCATCTCTGACTTCAGAAACTTCACACTGGACTTCAAGCAGCTTGGATTCTGTGCCTCTCCAGTCTTCCTCCAGACCTTGATTTCCAATGGAAATGCAACATTTACTTTCATCTGAAAAGAGGACTTTGGAGCACTGAGCAACAGTCCAGTTCTTTTTCTCCTTAGCCCAGGTAAGATGCTTCTGACGTTGTTTCTGTTTCAGAAGGTTGTGACTCTTGATGCACTGACTCCAGCTTCAGTCCACTCCTTGTGAAACTCTCCCAAGTGTTAGAATCGGCTTTGCTTGACAGTATTCTCAAGCTTGCATTCATCCCTGTTGCTTGTGCACCTTTTCCCACCCATTTTCTTCCTTCCAGTCAACTTTGCGTTTAATATGCTTTGATACAGCACTCTGTGAAGTAATGATCTTCTGTGACTTACCCTCTTTGTGGAGGGTGTCAATGATTGTCTTCTGGACCATTGCCAAGTCAGCAGGCTTCCCCATTATTGTGGTTTCAGAGAACAAGAGATACCCAGAACTTATACTGTAGGGATGGCCATTTAATGAAACTCAAATGTAAATATTCTAATATTTTGAGAAACTGGATTTTTGACTTTCATGAACTGTAAGCTCTAATCATCAAAATTAAAACAAAAAAAAT